GAGACACGAATCCAAAACTGAAAATGCGCACGATTCAATGTACCTAAAACCAAAAACAAAAATATACAACATAAAACCACTTCCAAAAGCGTGATGTATAAAAGCGAGTTGGGATAATATTATTAGGGAACCGTTAAACCGATTTAGACTGTTCTCAACATATATATTTGATAAAAACAATAATTTATTTACATAAATAGATAAGAATATCTTGTAAATTCTTAGGTTCTAAACATTGTGCGCTATATAAACTGATTACATTTGTCTACTTCTTCTTCTTCGGGCAAACGGCCGCTAGGACCATCCCGTCAAACACCCCTCCCATTTGTCTACTACCTTATATTATTATACAGATGTCTTATAGAATACTTTTATGTTATAAAATACTAGGATTTTCATTGAAAACTATAAACTAAGTAAGTCAGAGATATTATTATAATATAAGAGTAGCATACATATAAATCACAGTTGTAATTGTACTTTTTTAAGAGTTCCTCGCACAAACGAACGGACGTTGAGAACTAAAACAATTTTTAGAGTAAACAGCGTACTGCATTATTAAAAATATATTAATCATCATAAAAATTAATTATAATAGCACCCTAATATTCCCACGGTGTGTTGTTTTAAGTTCTAATAATAGCTATGTTTTCTAATTTTACCTGTTAGCGGCATCAGGCTCTTACTATTCGAATACATCATATTATATTATAAAACCATTTGTAAGGAACACCCCTTCTAGTCCAAACAGTTTTGATTTAATGTTAGAATTAAAAATAAAACACATAATATCATACACTTATTATATATTACCTTTGATTTTTGAATAGGTATGCAAAGAATAGTAGTAGGTATATTACAATGTCTATGCACAATCTTAGACAAATTTAACTTGATCAATAATGAATCTTATTGTTTGCTTTATTTTTTTTTATGGTAGATGAATTTGAATTATAAAATCCGCAATTTTGTTTGTTTTTTATTGTTAGACTATACTGTTGTTTACTTATGATGTACTATGCAAGTTGTGGTCGGCACATCAATTTGGTAAAGTAGTGCTGCGAGGGGTGTATGTAAATTTCACGGATGTGTGTACTTGCGGTAAAGATAAAAATTTCACGAGTAGACATAATTTGCCAGCTACGTTATCCCATGTTAAAATAATATTATTTTTAACCACGATTATATATTGTAAACGGTATACATTGTGTAGTATACTATACTGTACACGGTTCATCGTTATATTTGCACGAGAGATGATAAAAAAACCGATCTCGGCATAAACTTGCGGCTGTCGGTGCGTTTCAATCATTTTCAATTTCGCTTTGCTAATAACACAAAAATTAATAATCATAAAAAACGTATTCCGAATCGAATTAACGGCCGTCTTATTCATAAAAAAACAATACGGGTATAAAAAAATATTGATTGACTGGCATCTTAAAACATTATTGTGTATCTATAAATGTTCATGTTGTTTATGTACCTACACGCAACGTTATATAATAATATACACACATATGTGTGCGATTTACAACTTACAATATATTATATGCATGTTACATGTTTGTGCGATTTTAAAATCCTAAATGTAATTTAAACAGTATGATAATATTTGCATTATTATAACAGAGGCGACACATATTGTTAAAGGCGATTTTCTCGATATAAACCGATATAATAATAATAATCACCCACCGGCAACACGGTAAACATGATCAACGACCGGAAAACGGGTCTGAACTATCACACGGGCTGTGTGTATGTGATATTATTACATTATATTAAACCTACACGTATGTATATCAACGGAGCAACATAAATAATTTAAACGTGATTAACGGCAGAACACATACATTTTTACATTTATAAAAAAAAATATATATCTTATGAAATCCGCAAAACCATTGTGTGATCTTTGAAGAACAAGAGTTATTTTGTTTAATAAACTCTATCAAAAAAAAACTAAAAAAAAAAAATTGTAAAATTGATTCCTCCTAACATGGTCCCTACTAAGCCATACACAGGCAATGGAAATAATTAAAAACTGTTGTAATATACACTGTAGAATTCAGTAAGGCGTAGGTATACGACTCTTGAACTTGATAAGTAAACAGACAAATTAATTTTAGAGTAATATTTTTCATGTTTATGTATGTAAAACCTTGCATAGTCGATAACAGTATTTATTATTCAATGTCATTTATCAGTTTCAGGTGGCTGTAATACTTCCCATTAGTTCTGCGTTTTGTGAACGTTATGTTTTCAGCTTTGAAGACAAATAATGACTTGGCTTAGGGTATATTGGTCAATATCATGTATAGAAAAAGATATGACAAATTTAAATAACATAAACGAAGGTACATTTTCACAACAATATTTAGGCGTCTAATAACTCTTGTATAAAATATCTGTAAATTGCAATATATATTTGTATAAAATAAATAATGTTAATAAACTAAAATGTTGTATTATTAAACTGTTGTTTAACAACTCAAAAAAAGCTTGCGTTGATTTTACTTTTATTTAAGCAGGATTTGAAATTAAAACGAGTTATTGCTCAATATGTTACAGCTTTCCATTTCTCAGTCAGAATTTACAACACTTAGGTTTAGGTAGGTATACTAAGATTTCTATTATTTTATAAATGTTTTATAACGCTGTAGGAGTTTCCCGCATAAACTTAAATTGAAAAAAATGCTTTTATTTTATTTTTAAGAATACATTTTAAAAAGATTTTGGTTTTATAATTATTTTTTTTTTTTTGTTTTGTCTTGACGTTGGAAAGTTAGGTGTGTGTGTGTGTGTGTATGATGAATTAAAAATGTTAAAAAGTCATGATCGGCGCGCAAAACCTATTCAACCACTTGATTGGCTCGACTCCATATAAGTATAAGCACGGCGGTTTTTGTTGTTGTAGTTTTTTTTAGTAGGTATACAACCATTATGACGTTATAGTAGAAGGGAATAAAAAACTATATAGGTACATTAACCAGAAATAAAATATAGTAATTAAATGCGTTACGGACCGCGTTTCGTTTTTGACGGAATTAATGATTCCAATATATGAACGGGCAAGAGTAGACACTAGCTATAGCTGTTGATGTTGATTGATTCGACGGGGTTACTTATATACTTCATTAGAAAATAAAACCTAATAACCGTTGTGTATGTGCGGCGGATACCTGCCGCGCTGACAATGACTGGCCAGGTATAAAAAAAAAAAAAAAAATTGTATATAATATAATGAAACAAAAATAGAGACAAATATAAAAACAACATAAAAAGCAATACGATTAATTATTTATTATTAAGAAATAGAATAAAAAAAAAAATAGGATATTAATCGGAAAATATCGTGTTGATTAAAAAACGGGCCGTGTCGATTGTTCTCGCTTCTTCGATGACATTCGCCGACGGGACATCTTTTTATAAGCTTTTATATTAAAAAAAAAAAAAATTAGTCACAATATAATAATGTGTATTAAGAAGGTAGATGAAATTAAAAAAAAATAAAAGACACAACGCTAATATTATATCCGTTCGAAAGCCATCTGCCCGCGTTCGTTCTGACGCACCGTTTTTTTTAATTGTTTTGAAAAAAAAAGAACATTAGTTTATTATATTATGTACCTATATACATACCGTCGCCTTTATAACCAGACCCCCATCCGTTCGGCACATATTTTCCTCGAATTTTTAATTTCAATTTCCTCATCCGGCATTTTGTTTTTTATGTCCCTCGTTTCATAATAACAGTAATAATATTGTACTCTTTCAATTATTATTATTTAGACGCGACACGTGTGGGTTAGTCGGTGTACATGTGTAAATATATAATGTAATGTATACATATTGTATAGTGTAAAATAACGACGCACCTCTCTTGTCCAAAATATTCAAAATTAACAAATTATTCATTTCAAATTCGTTTACGATTTTCTTTAAAATATACAGGGTGTTATCATTTATTTCTTATCTCTAGTCTTATCATTTTCTCTTATAGCTAATATCTTATCACTTACTTCTTATCTCTTGTTTCTAATTATTTATCTCTTATCATTTACCAACCTATCTCTTATCAATTATCTCTAATCCCACATCGTTAATCTCTTATCAATTATCACTTATCGTTTATTTCGTTTCTCTAGTCTCTAATCATTTTCTTCTTATCATTTTTTGAGTTAGGGGCCAAAAGGGACGGAAAATGACGTGACCTCTCTATTAAGGTGAGCTTTTTGCACCGAATAATAGGAAATAATTGTTTTTTTTTAAGTCATTATTTTTTTTACTTAAATGTTAAAAATGAAAACGAAGAGCTTATGGAGGGGGGGGGGTCTCCCAGATACCCAATCACCTATTACTTACCTTTCATGCTGGAACACCCTGTATACATTAGTTATTAATTTATTAAATTAACTTTTATATTTTTAATTTTGGATGATATTACCTATACTTTTTTCTGGTTTTTTTTTACACATCAAGTATGGATGGACCTATTCTACTTGTTCATTCTCTTATAACTTACTAAACAATATTTAAGAAACAACGTTACCTACAACAAAAACTCATTACACATTTTGTTCTTGTCTTGTTTTCAAATAAAAATAATAAAAGTAGGTCATCAAAACAATTTGTGAAGTGTCAATTTTTTTAAAACTAAGTATCAATTGTGTTCGATTTTATTTATTTTTAAGATTATCTAAAAGTATATTCTTGAAGGCATTTTTCACTTGAGATATCAGTCGCAAATCTAATGCAAATCTTATGTTTGAATTTAATACAATATTTAATACAATACAATTTAATACTTGGTTTCAACAATTGATGTACATTGTGTACTTAGACGATGATATGATGTTAATCAAACCAAACCGTATATCTAGGTCGGTTGTTGAGATAACAATGTTTTTGCGCAAAATAAAAACACAACCACTTAATAGGCATTATATTCGATTGATTCGCACCGAGTACTTACACACAAAAGCACTTAATGACCGCCAAAGATAGCTGGATTTAAAGGTGGTGCCTACTTAGAAAACTATTAAGCCGTTTAAATAACCACTATTCATGCATGGCGGGTACCATTCACGGACGGTACACGTTAAAGGTCAACTATTTACTTTTGATTGCACACAATATCGGTATAATGCGGTCGAATCTTTTCATCGTTTACTTCGGGTCCGTGTTCACATGGGTGGCCGCCGTTACCGACAAAACGTTTGCCGAATCATCTTATGAGGTATTTATTATGGGGTTTTCGTAAAAAAAAAAATATATATATATATTTAAAAAATTATATTATTCTAATAGCTGCGACGTGACGCACTGGAAACGGGGGAAAAAAAACGTTTTCCTCACCTCCTTTAAATCTCTACCAAACCGTTGAACCGCGGTTTCGCCCACACTATATTATTATTATCACCACTGTAACAATTATTTGTTTGTGTATCATGTCGAAATTCTATAAAAAAAAAATATTATAAATAACAACGCTCGACTTTCTTTTGTGTAAAAACCCGTACGTGTATTGAATTTCAATGTAACGCATCCGGTGTGTGTTGTTTATGTAGTATAATATACTATATGTCTGTCTTAAACGTGCTCGCGTACAGACACCGAGACCTATTGGTTATAGGGGTCCGTGATCTTCTTATAAAGATAACAACCACCAGCTGTCTATTATTGCATTTTTGTAAATATTTGGACAATTTTGTAGACCGGCCCGGTTCGTCGAGTCCAACAAACCCGGCCCGACTACATCCCCCACGACAACAGGAGGAAACTCGACCACAACGGGTACACATCAGCAGATAGCATACCCGATGAGTTCGATGCCCGGGAATATTTTACAAAATGCACCAGAGTTCTGAGCCAAGTCAGAGACCAAGGAAACTGCGCTTCCAGCTGGGTGAGTCTAGTCAAGATTACATAACTAGACATGGCAGGTCTATTGGGTACACCTTACATCGACAGTGGTTTATTCGTAGGCGGTATCTGTGGCTTCGGCTTTCACGGACCGTCTTTGCATTGCAACCGACGGACAGTTCACTAAGAAGCTCTCGGCTCAGCACATCATGTCTTGCGGCGACGACAAGCAAGCGGGCTGCCAAGGGGGTTCGGCGTACAGGGCTTGGGAGTTCACCAAAAACCACGGTGTAGTCACCGGTGGAAATTTCAATTCCAAAGAGGTAAGAGGTGGACTAAGACGGATAAAGATATGTGCTATTTTTGACACCGCTATATACTCTTCCAAAGGGCTGCCAACCGTATCGGAGAAGGTATTGCGATCATGCGGGAGATCTTAGCATGAAAAACTGCTCGACCCTCGGGCCAATGCGACCGACTATTTGCCAGAGAAAATGTTTCAACAGCCAATACAACGTGGACTATGAATCGGACTTGCATAAAAGTAATTTCAACTCAAACGAAATTGCTCAATCAAGCAAAACCCTAGAGCGAGAACAGCTGTTATTGGCAATGAAATTATAGAGGGGGGAGGGTCGCAACAGGGAGTTGAGGAAGAACCTGAAACCCTTCATATTTGATTCCAGTGCTGTTTATAATTAGAAACTCCAATTTGTATAAAATTTCAGGGCCCTTGAAGGTGTTTGTGTGCTCTAGATAGCTTTTTCAGTGTTATCAAATTGTCTCTCTTGCCTTCAAGGGCGCCCACAGAGGGTCAGGGGATGACAAATCCCCCCTCCTTAGCTTCTCTGCAAGTTAAAATAAAGTATATCCCAAATTTTCCCTCCCCCCTGAATTTTCACCTGCGGGCACCCTTGCTTACCTCATGAAATTTACCTATAATTAACAACCTTATAAAATTTTATATTACTTATTACTTATAATATCCCAAACAGGTTAGGTACTTACTGATTACTTTGCTGCTAGTTATGAGTAACAGTTTAAATGTAAACTGCTCAAGTCTTTGGCGAGGGTGGAGGGGAAAGATACAATATTGTAATTTTGTTTTAAATACTCGAAAAGTAATATTCCAAGACTAGCTAATTCGAGGCAATTATTATTATTTTAACTAATATTCTAAACATCTATAAAGTGAACAGAGAAAAATAGTTTTAAGTCACTTTTTCAATAGAAGTATATTGAAAATTTGTCAGTACCTTCGCTAATCTCATATTACCGTCTACAGATGATTATATTATTTGTTAAGGAAATTTGACGGTGGTTTTTTTTTTAATTAGCTTCTGAAGTATACATGACTTCGTGGACGAATACGACGCAGATCCAACAGGAGATCATGACTTACGGACCGGTGACGGCCGCCATGTATGTCTATGAAAACTTCATGAACTACAAGACGGGTACGGGGTGACGAATCGACCAGTGCACAAACACATAAGAAATCTTATTATGATAATATTTTTTTTTTTTTGCAGGTGTTTATAAAGATACCACCGGCGAACTCATCGGATATCATCATGTGAAACTGATCGGCTGGGGCGTCGAACAAGACCAAGACGGTAGCACCGAATACTGGTTGGCAATGAACTCTTGGAACTCTGGTTGGGGCGACCGGGGACTGTTTAAAATCTTAAGAGGTTACAACTTTTGTTCCATTGAACTTTTAGTAATGGCCGGCATGGTCGAACGACGCTAAACGTTGACACTATGTCCTTTTTTTTTTTAATGTACAGTACAACAGTATTATTATTATTATTATTATTTATTGGTAATGTTAAGATTAAAACTAGTCGAGTAAAATAAATTACACTATTTTAAGTGAAATTTGGTTATTTAAAAAGTCAAGTCCTCTGGGCAGGTACATTGAAAATGACCTTTCTGCGTCGGATACTTGGTTATTTTGGCAGCGAATTTGTCGAGTTAAAAAACCTTTGGGGTTCCTTTTTGTTATTTATAAGAATTACTTTTGAAAATATCGACACCGTTACTTGGCTGTACCGTGTGTTTAACGCATAAATCATGCCAGGGCATTTTAATTCTTACAAGCGGTTTGTTAGCTTGCCGGCAAGGCAAACCGTCCCAAAGGATACACACCTCCCCCGCGCACTATAGACATTGGATTTGACAAAAAAAAAAAAAAATATGAGTTTTCCACATTGCAAAAAGAATGCTTGTCTCCAACACAACGGTGTACCTACCTACCGGCGAAGGATATGTAATTTTAAATTGGAAATGCCAAACTTTCGACACGAGAAATCGAAATGTAACAACGCCGAATTGTGTTTACACTTGGTTTTTAAACAAATTGGAAAATCTCTTTTCGTGCGCCCGACAGTTGTCACGTTGTAAAATATATGATCCATAACTCACAAACGATTCTCCTGGAAAGACACAAAAAAGAAAAAAATAATACCGTTATACCTACCGAAATATATATATATATATATATAATTTTTTTTAACAATACCGTCCTTAAAAGAAAAAGTGTTATCGAAAACGGAGAATTTATTATTTATGCAATTCAATTAAAACAACGTTGCTTGTGTATTGGGTTTTTTTTAAATTGTATAAAAAAAAGTGTTATAATTTATTCGATCAATATTTATAACGTTTTAAAAAGTTGAAATCGAAAAGTTCTGAAACAAAATATAAGAAAATATAATATAAGGAAACTATTTTTTTTGTTTTAAGAAACGGTTAGTTTTGATTTATCGTGTAATAATAATTATGGTTAGAGTGAAATAAACTACACATTTAGTAAGCCTAACAGTTTTGTTTAGTTATTCCAACTATACAATTTTTTGTTTGCCAATTTTAACTATATACTTTAGTAAGCTTGTCTGAATTCTGCAAGTATTACAAGTTCATGTCACATATCTATCCTCTTGGCAGTGCGTATGCATAACCCTTCTCTGAGATTACTGGCGTGTGTACATTGATCTAAACACTTAAGGAATGACCTGAAATTAAGCAACCAATGCTTATACATACAGCTGTGATTGTCGGATTTGTTCTTATTTACCACTCATATTCAAAATTCCTATTATTATAGACAATAATATCCGTTTTACCTGATATAAGTCATAATACAAGCCTGTAATCCGGTGAAAATTACTTTTTTAAATTTGCCAACTCATTTCAAACCAGATATATTAATAACGGCTGAGTATGATGACACTATATTATAATTATTTTATAATACCATACATAAGAATACGGGTAATAATATCAATTCTGTTGGTTTGGACAAAGTAAAATATAAACGAACCGCAAAAAAATGTGGAAAAAACTGGAATGGAACGACCACAAAAAAAACGGTGTTATTATTTTAATGTTTCCGTGATTGGGTCTCTGCCGTTATGTTAACGTACCGAGGATTTTTTTTATTATTGGGATTTTCTACACAGAGAGAGAGACAGATACAGGTAATAACGTAGTACACGACCAATGAAAAACGTCCCAAAAAAAAAAAAAATGATTTATAAAAAAGCAACCAAAATCGTGTATAATGGGATATATAAGAAAAACACATAGGTTTTTGTTGTCGTCGTTATCTGGAACACAGACCGTGTCGAAATTAGAATTTCGTAAAACAACTGGACGAAGATGGGAACATACAAAAAAACATCAAGAAATATAAAAAAAATATATATACATAATATTATTGTCGGATAAATTGTGGTTTTGATTCAGATGTAATTATACGGGTAAGGCACGCGGAGACGTGACCGCCATAACGCTTTGGTTATAGTCTTCTGGTGATCTTCCGTTTTACACTTAAGACGTTTCGATAAACAAGTTTTTCATTTTTCGTTTTCCATTTGGAAGTCGATATTTCAATTTAGATTATTATTGGTTTTTGTGAAGCGCAAAAAATATTATCTGCTATACAATTCGGTTTGTACTTGTATACAACCGGTTCAACGGCGTTTCCAGGCAAAGCGAAGGCAAGCAATTGGTCTAGAAACAATCTGTGTGTAATGCAGCGCATTATCATCCGAGTTTGCACTGACGCTGAACGGTTTATATTTTGTTTTTTGGTTCTTTCAAAAACCTCCTTAGAGCAAGAGGGCGACAATGAACCGGGTGTGGCTACTGTCTTAACGATTAGGTTCGACACACTTACATAACAATTGCTATCAGTCAAATATCAGCTGTCAAATGAGAAGTCTCAAGCAATGACGGCAGAAGCTGGTATGTACATTTTTAGGTAAAATACAATAATTCAAGTTTTTCAGCAATGTTATATTGTATTAACTTCCATGCTAGCAATCAAATACCCATTTTAAAACATATAACACATACCTATCTGTAAGATATTCCCAAAAGCGATTTTTAAAATTCACTTAGATATAATTACCCCCCCCCCCCCCCCCGAAAGAACCAATTAAACAAAATATATAGTTATCAGTCCAACCCAATCACGTAGCCAGGAGGTGTTTTTAGAGCACATCACCTTCCACTTGCTTTTTGTTTTATTAGGTAATATTGTAATGTGAATATTATGCACACTTCGAACTTAACCTTTTAAACGGTACTTTGTTTATCGATTTTGGTCAAGTAAAAAGGGATAAAGAAAAACCTTTTTGAAATAAGAATAGTCGAGGATAAATAGGATTAATAATAATTTGATATTATTTATATTTTATTACATTGATGATTATAATTTAAATTTCCGGGCAATTAATATTATCTAAATAGATTTATTTATCAGTTATATTTATAACGTGCAGAATAGAAGTTCACAATCAAGTCTAGTGTTAATAGTTTTTGCACTGAGCAGTGCTTAATGGTTCTTTTCGCAGTCACTTATCTACTCATTTTTTTTTGTGCAAATGTTTTTCTACTATTTCTTTTTTAACTAAAAATAATATCTTCCTTTTTTCTTTCTTTATGCGTGTCGAATGTCGGAATCCAATTATGAGTGGAAACTCGTAAACAGGGTGTGGCCCCCAGGAAATTGTTTGAAAACAGAAATAATAACAATAATGCTTGCGGCCACTGTTGTGGTGGTGGTGGTGGTGGCGATAGTGTAAAACAATAGATAATATCTCTGTATCGGTTTTCATTCAATCCGGTAATTTCGGTGCATTACGGTTTCGGTAAAAAACAATACCTACCTACGATTACTTTAAAACAATATAAATACAGGATGCTCCGGTCCGATCGGTAACTCCTACAAAATGTTTCTATTATAATGTAAAACGTCATCGATTACCCTCTGGTCGTTGGAGCCACTCATCCATTGTACAAAATCCACATTATAACTATATGATAATATCCATTTTTTTCCATTTCAAGACATCTTACTTTGTGAAACGAACGTCTTACTATTTTGAAAAATGTTGTTTGTTTACAATCTATACAGGATAATATGTATGTTGAACTAATACCATCAGCTGTGTTTCTATAACATACAATAAGAATAAATACAAAACAAGAACTTATAATTTGTATTTGATTAAAAATAATGGTCGTTTACCAACTAGCTGTTATAGTTAGCTTATTCACTCTTTTTTCAATAGTAACTGAAGAAAATGTGATCTTATTATATAATTATTGTAATTATTTTTCAAATACCGTTTCCTAATTGATTAAAACATTCATTTCCCAGCTTTTTATTCGGCGAGCAAATTGCAATATGAACTGTAGGTATAAATAATAAATCTGGAACGCCATCAAATAATTTTTTTTTCATCTATTATTACAATAGTAAAATAAGCATGTATACTAACCACTTCAATGAACAATATTTAATTAGTTAACAAGAAATTTTGTGTTAACAAAGCCTTGTTATGCAGTGTCAATGACAATAAGGTGAAAACTGTGTTCTTGTTTTACTATTGTTATGTCGAGGTGAAGCACGGAAACAGTTGTCTAGCTGTTAAAATTATATTTTTCTCGTAGGTTTTTTTTTTTAACAGTTTCATTAGTGCTTTAAATGAGTAGTAGTTTTTTTTTTTTTTTCTGACATATTACATTTGCATAGCACTTAGCTGACGGTTTTCCCACGGCTTCTCGATGATCATTATTATGTTATTATAAATGAATTTGATTACTATCTTGCCTTTAGGAATGACCGTACATATGTGTAGGTATTATGATGTCTGTCCATAGTAAATTGTATACGATATTCCGGGGAGTTCTATTAAGTGTTTAGTCACAAAAGTATCCTGTAATAATATAATATCGATTGCCCCAGTCTTTTTTTATAATTTCTTGGGTGTTACAAGTCGCCGCCATTTCACATGTCGGCGTTCATTGTATAACATAGTAGTTTTTTTTATTCTATTTTTTGTCTTCGATATATGAAATCGATCCAACGTAGCCACTGGCGTTCTGAGTGGCGCCACATTAACCACGGTCATGGTTAATGCGAGCACATCATCTTTGTCCCGAAAAACCGACCGCCACCTCTGTCAAATATATATATATAGTTATAATATAGTCTATATTTGACCACTGTCACTAGCGCCATGACTATAATATACTTTCTCGATTTTAGAGTATCTCCCACAAACGTGCACCTAATCACTGCAATAGTAATTACTGTTGACTGATTATAGTTTCTTCGTGTAGAGACATTTATTGTGGCTTAAGTAATGCGTTGCGTGGGTGCAAAGCTTACATATCAATGTATAGTATCACAATCTTGATATTGTAGCATTACAGTTATTATATTCATATTTTGCACCGAAAAATTGTTTTAAATTAGATAAGATTTAGATAATAAGAAATGATGTCACGGTATAGACTATAGTTCATGATAAATAATATACAACGGTATGCTTTGGAAGTGCGGTCAACGATATAAAAA